AAAACCAAGGGACTAGTCACTCACAAAACCAAATATCCATTCCCTTTCCCCGAGCCTATGTTAAAAGCCAATAAAGTCCTACAGTGATCCTATTCCGGGAAAGATAGAGTGTAGAAAGCGAGGGCAAGCCTATGGTAGTTTGTTGTTAGTGTTAGAAGTTCTTTGAGAGAGTGACCGTAGTACTCAGTCCCAACTATTATAAGTGAAGGACTTCTTTGTTGTGAGGACATAGTGATTACATGTGGAAGTAGATTGTGTGAGCGGATAATTCACAGGCATAAGCATGATTGACTTTGGGTAATGAGATGTCATGTATTGATCCTTATTTGTTAGATTCAGGATTTTGGATACAATTGTTGTTTAAAAAGGCTGTTGCATAGTTTCAAAAGTGTCTGAACATTTTGAGGACCAAATGTGTTGTTGTATCATCACTTGAGGACACGTAATGGTTCTAAGTTGAGGGTGTTGATGTGCCGCGAAATCTTGGCACATTTGATGCTTAAAAACGAGGAACTAATACTAGAATTAAGTGTATTTTTGTATATTTGATATGTTTGTTAATAGTGTAGGCAGAATTTGGCGTGTGTAGAAAAGTGTAAAAAGAAGCAGAGAATAATGATGATGACTAAGTGAAGTTCATGTCCAACTTCACGGACTGTGACCTTCATAACGGTCTGTGGTTGAGCCCATGAAACTGAACCAGTGTGAAGCCCTGAGAGGAGCTGAAAGTGGATGAATAAGTGAAGACCACAACCAACTTCACGGGTCGTGGTCCTCATTACGGACCGTGGTCGTGATCGTGATGCTGAACCAGAGAAGAGGTTAAAAGAAGTTGTTAAGTGATAGGGTGGTCAAGTTAAAGTCACAGGAACCTTTACGGGCCGTGAATGTCATTATGGAATGTGGTACCCGTCGTGATGATGAACCAGTGGATGGACTTCAAAGAGTTGAAATTAGGATCGGATAAGTAAAGACCACAACCAACTTCACGGGTCGTGGTCCCTAATGACGGTCCATGGTCTCGTCTGTGATGCAAGTTCCAGTGATCAAGTTTAAAGAGAAACCTTTGGGGAGTTTCCAAGGGAAGATCATGGAGGGATTCACGGTCCGTGAAGCCCTCTACGAGCCGTAGAAGTGGTTGTAGAGCCACCCTACATTTCAACTAGGACTCATTTTAAACATTCTATTTTGAATTACTTTAAGGCGTTTTGGGAATATTATTCATTATGTTACGTTTTACAAAGGAAAACACTATATTATTAAGAGATTTTGGATTTTGGATTTCGAAGATTAGTATTAGTTGAAGCTCGGATTTGGATTATCAGATTATCGAATTGATTGTTGAATTGTTAATTATTTTTGTAAGCCTTTCTCATTATGTTTTCATTCCTAATTACTGATTGTTTACGTGAAAGCATGAGTCGCTAAATACCACGACTGGGGTTGTGGGATCCATGATGAAATTCTAGTTGCGATTCCGTAAAATGAGTAAAGGGCAGTCTGTATTACAATATGTAGTTTTTAGCTTTCAATAACGTTATAATCTAGTGAGTGCACACATTAGATGAGTCTATATATGGTATTTGTTTGAGAGAAAAATACCAGTTACGAAAAAGTTTAACAAAATTGACAAGTTGGAGTTAAAGTGTAACATCCCGGAAATCCAATGACCTAAGCTAGAGCCTAACATGACGCCTAGTGTCCTAAATAGGGTAAATGTCAAGATAAGAGTCGTAAAACAACTTCCTTAACCTAGTACTAAGGTGTTAGTCCCTAAACGTCAAGGCATGGCCGCCCCAAGGACCCCCAAAGGGTCCTTGATGAGGGTCAATGGGCAGCTCAAAAACTGTTCAAAAATAATGTCGTCCACGAAGGGAGGACCATGAGGCGTGGACTGGCTCACGGCCCATAGATTGGTGTCATGAGTCCAGCCTTAGCCTCCTCAAAAGGTCCCTAAAATTCCATGTCTCATCCCCATTCCACGGACGTGCAGTACGGTCTTTGGACCAACGCACGCTCTATGGAAGGGTCTCATGAGTTGAGACTTTCTCCTCACAAAGACCTTGATCCTCCCCTCTCTGACCCAAACCATGAGTGACCAGTACGGTCCGTGGTTCAAACCATGCCTCGTGGAAGGGGACTCGTGAATGGGGCCTGGGCATGCTGCGTAGGTTCGGCCTTGGTAAGGGTGGTTCGGTAATTCATTAACTAATTAAGTTAGGGTGGGGGACGGTTATATTTAGTTATTTTAGGTATATTAAAGTATTTTTAAGTATTAAACAAGTCTTTTAACACTCATAACTCACAAACACAAAATCAAACCCATTTCCCTCCCAAAATATTCTCTATCTAAACTACATTGAAGAACAAAGAAGAAGCTCAAGCTAGGGGTTCAATATCCATCCTTTTCACTCCAATTTTGTGAGGAGATCATCAATCAAGGTATGGGAGACTTGATTCATCGAACTATTTTCTCCATGAAGCCTTGAACTCTTGATTCCGAAATTGATAACTTGTTCAAAAACTAGGGTTTTGATTCTAGCCATTGGTTCTTCTTAAAAATGATTTCATTGTGTTAATTATCTTATACTATGAAGAAATTGATGTTTAATGGTGATTTTTATTGTAAAATAACATATGAACCCATGTACACCCCCATGACTCCAATTTCATGAATTTTGATTGGTGCATTGATGCAAGATGATTACCTTGAATTGTATCCATGTCAATCTAGTTATTGATTGTTGTTTTATTCATACTATTGTAGTATCTTTGGGTGTAATTGTGAGAGATGGTGCATGGACCTTGAATGGGGGTAAATTGCTAGGGTTTGGGTAGGTTTTTGAAGATTGTATATGACCTTGTGGTTCAACTATATAATGATGATCTTATGGTTATAGTGTGTTGATGGAATTGATGCAATAACCTCTTTCCCTAAACCCTTACATTTATATATGCATGAAATAACTATGATGTTATATCAATGTTGTGTTGATTGTAAAGGACACTCTCATGAACATGATGTGAAAGACTTACTCACATACTAAGGCTTCTAAGGAATCCATGAGCTACCATAATACCATGATGGTTGAGTGCTATGCATTCTTCCATGAACATGATTATAAAGTAAAGACTTAACATGATTATAAAAAAGGAATAAGGCTTAGCACCGAGTGGATAGGAACAAGAGATGGAAACCTCTTACGTCAGTCAGTCCGGGTATCTAGTAACAGTTTTCCTATCCCATAACTATGTGCCCACATAGGTCTCTTAGCTAGTGGATCCACTTATAAGCTAACCATGTTAGTTATACCTTAGGCAAGTAGGACACCTCTTTTCGGTGTGGGCAGTACACCGGATTCCATGTAGCTCACATGGTCTATGTCGGTTAAAGCTAAACTTCCCAACATAACAAGAACAAGATCCATGACATGACATGAACTTGAACATGAACTAATAATACAAACACAAGTCATATGCTATGATTACTTGAGAGGTATTACTTAGTATGAGTGGGGGTATGGGATTTCACTTGTGCATTGCACAAGTAGACTTATGAAGGGGTTATGGTGTGGTTTACTTTTGACATGAATGTATATAAATCCATGTGTGTATGTAATGAGTTGGTATTTGTAATGACTTGCTTATCACGAACTATAAACATGATGTTTCCTTGTCCATGATTGTTAGCTTGGGTGAAGTCAAGGTGAGAAGTGCACTACTATGGTGGTCCAAAGTGGTTTATTGCATGATTTGACTTGGTGATTACTTTAAAGGTGCATAATGTCTTTTAAAATTGATAAGGCATGATTTCAACCAAATGTTCCCTTTTGCATGATTTAAGGTTTTTACGCATGCTTCCATACTTAGTACAATTAATTGTGCCAACCCCTTTCTATACCCTTTTACTAGGAGTGTAGGTTCTGATCGTTGAGACTACTACTTCTTCAAGGTGAAGCTTGGGTCGACTATTCCCTAAACTTGGTGAGTCCTCAAGTTCGAGCACAAGATGTCATTGATTCTAGTTCTAGTTTTCTTCTATATTCTAGACTATGTTGTATTTTTTTCTATTCATGAAGACTTTATTGATGTAAAGGGCTTCGTCCCTATTTGTACTACTATGTTCTAGATGGGGATTGAGACAAGTATAGTTTCCTATTTTCCTTAATGAAAGAAGTTGACTTCTATTGTAAAAGTTTTACTTTTTTCCACATTATTCCATGTCTTTATGTTATGACCATGCTAAGGGCTTGTATGAGACCCCTTTCGAGGTCGAGTATGTCGTGTTACTTCTAGGGGGTACCCTTGGGTCGTGACAAACTTGGTATCAGAGCATAAGGTTTTGGTTTGATATTTAGGGTGATGTCTCATGAACCACGTCTAGTAGAGTCTTGTTCATGAGTGTGAAGCGTGCCACATTTATGAATTAGAGTCTATAAGATGTTTAAGCACTCTCACTTCTAGATTACTCTTTAGTCGTGCTTTAGAGTTTTGACCTCTATGAAGTCCTTTTCCTAACCTTTCTATTGTGCATATAGGATCTGGCTACAAGGAGGGTGTCCTCAGGAAGAAGGGAAGAGGAGATTTCTAATGAGGGAGATCCTTCCCAAGATCCACAGGTCCCGAAGATCCTAAAGATTCTCAACATGAGGGGACTATGACTAATGTGGAGATTAGGCCTGCTCTCCAAATCTTGACCCGTGTCCTAACGACTCAAGTCACTAGAGATGCTAGAACTCATGGGAACACCAATGAGAACACAAGGGCCTCAAGGTTGAGAGACTTCACGAGGATGAACTCTCCAAAGTTCTTTTGCTCTAAAGTGGGTGAAGACTCTCAAGAATTTATTGAGGAGATAAAGAAGATAGTAGAGGCTATGGGGGTAACCTCTAGAGAGAAGGCAAAATTAGCCGGGTATCAAATGAACGGTATGGCCCAAGGAAGCATGGGTGTTGAAGAATATTCTCTTAAGTTTACCTAATTGTCCAAGTATGCTCCATATGGTGGTGGAGCCAAGAGATGAGATGAGTAGGTATGTAATAGGTGTGTCTAGCTTGGTGAGGAAAGAATGCCGTTCGGCTATGCTTCATGACAACATGGATATATCTCGTCTTATGGTGTATGCTAAACAAATGGAGGATGAAAAACTCCAAGAAAGGAATAGAGATGTGAAGAGGCCTAGGACCGATGATAGAAACTCCTCCAAGGGTAAGTTTGAGATTCAAGACAAACCAAGGTTCGAAAAGTGGTTTTCCAACCAAGGTTCCACCAATGCTCCGAGACCCAATAGAGTTAGGATGTCTAACCCTAAGCCTCAAGGAGGCAATGGTGGTGGATATTTCATGACAAAGCCTACATGTATTAAGTGTGGCAAGAGACATGAGGGCAAATGTCTTATTGGAACGGATGGTTGTTTTCATTGCATAAAGAGTGGCCATATGGTGAAAGTTTGCCCCATGTTAAAGGTTCAAGGGAGAGAGGGAAAGCAAGCCCTCTAAGTGGCTCAAATTTCGATGCTCCCAAGAAGAATCGCTTACATACCCTCCAATCCCGAAGTGATCAAGAGGGCTCTCCGGACGTTGTTACCGTTATGTTACAAGTATTCTCAATTAATGTTTATGCATTATTAGAACTTGGGGCCACTTTGTCTTTTGTTACTCCTTTTGTGGCAATGAAATTTGATGTACTCCCTGATGTCTTAAAATAACCCTTTTTGGTTTCTACCCCAGTGGGTGACTCAGTTATAGCTAAAAGAGTTTATAGGAGTTGTCCCATCTCATTGTCTCATAAAGTCACATTGGTTGATTTGATAGAATTAGATATGTTTGACTTTGATGTTATATTGGGGATGGATTGGTTGCATGCTTGATTTGCTAGACAAGGGTTTTATTCAACCAAGCATATCTCCATGGGGTGCACCGGTATTGTTCGTAAAGAAGAAAGATGGGTCCCTTAGGATGTGTATTGATTACCGACAATTGAACAAGGTCACTATAAAGAATAAGTACCCTCTCCCTAGGATTGATGATTTGTTTGACCAACTCCATGGAACGAGTTACTTTTCAAAGATTGACTTGAGGTCGGGCTATCACCAACTTAAGGTTAGTGGGGTTGACATTCCTAAAATAGCCTTTCGAATAAGATATGGTCACTATGAATTCCTAGAAATGCCTTTTGGGTTGACCAATGCCCCGACGGCCTTCATGGACCTTATGAATAGGGTGTTTAGGCAATATCTTGTTTCGTTTGTGATCATTTTTATTGACGGTATTTTGATCTACTCTAAGAGTGAGGAATATCACATGAAGCATTTGAGGATAGTATTGCAAGTCCTTAAAGATAAAAAAAAAATTGTATGCTAATTTTAGCAAGTGTGAGTTTTGGCTAAGGTCGGTTGCTTTCCTTGGTTATATTGTATCAAGCATGGGTATAAAAGTCGATCCTAGGAAAACAGATGTGGTTAAGAGTTGGCCTAGACCCCTAAGTCCCACCGACATCCGAAGCTTTTTGGATTTGGCCGGTTACTATAGGAGATTTGTTGAGGGTTTCTCCTCTATCACTTCTCCATTAACGACCTTGACCCAAAAGAAGTCCAAATTTGAGAGGACGGAGGCTTGTGAGAAGAGCTTCAAAGAATTGAAGGATAGACTCACATCCACTCCGGTGTTGACCTTATCAAAGGGTACCGACAGGTTTGGGTTTGTAGTGTATTGTGATGCTTCAAGAGTAGGGTTGGGGTGTGTTTTAATGCAACATGGTAAGGTAATCACCTATGCTTCAAGGTAACTCAAGACTCACGGAAAGAATTGCCCAACCCATGACCTCGAGCTAGCGATGGTGGTTTTTGCCTTGAAAATATGGAGACACTATCTCTATGGGGTGCATGCAGATGTGTTTACTGACCACAAGAGTCTTCAATATGTGTTTAGCCAAAAAGATTTGAATCTCCATCAAAGGAGATGGTTAGAGATTTTGAAAGATTATGACATAAGTGTCCTATACCACCCCGTCAAAGCTAATGTGGTTGCGGATGCCCTAAGTAGATTGTCCATGGGTAGTGTGGCTCATGTAGAAGATGCGAAAAAGGAATTGGTTCGTGATGTGCATATATTGGCTCGGTTAGGTGTCCAACTAGTGGATTCTACCATGGGTGGATTCACGGTTCATCATAGTTCTAATCGTCCTTCGTTGTTAATGTAAAGTCTAAGCAATATCTTGATCCTATTCTAATGGAATTGAAAGAATCGGTTCTCAAAAAGTTCATTGAGGCTTTCTCCCAAGGGGGAGATAGGGTGCTTAGGTACCAAGGTAGGTTATGTGTTCCGGATGTTGATGGTTTAAGGGAGAAAATTCTAGAAGAGGCCCATGGTTCGTGATATTCGATTCATTCAGGAGCCACTAATATGTACCATGATCAATGGAAAGTCTATTGGTGGAAAGGTATGAAGACAGATATAGCGGATTTTTGTCCAAATGTTTGAATTGCGAACAAGTCAAAGCCAAACATCAAAGACCGAGAGGTTTTCTCCAAGAGATATATGTTCCCACTTGGAAGTGGGAGGATGTGAACATGGACTTTGTTGTGGGTTCGCCTCGTACACGAAGGCAACATGATTCTATTTGGGTCATTGTTGATAGGATGACCAAATCAGCCCATTTCCTTCCCGTCAAGACTATTTTTTCGGTGGAAGACTATGCTAAGTTATACATCAAGGAGGTAGTGAAGTTGCATGGGGTTCCTTTTTCTATCATATCAGATAGAGGTACTCAATTTACTTCACATTTTTGGAATGCTTTTCAACAAGGACTTGGTACCAATGTTAAACTTAGTACCACTTTCCACCTTGAAACGGATGGTCAAGCCGAGCGCACCATTCAAATTCTAGAGGACATGTTGAGGGCGTGTGTGATTGATTTCAAGGGTAATTGGGACTATTATCTTCCTTTGATAGAATTTGCCTACAACAATAGTTACCACTCTAGCATTACCATGGCTCCGTTTGAAGCAATATATGGTAGAAGGTGTAGATCACCGGTGGGTTGGTTTGGAGTATGTAAGTTTTCTCTAATTGGTCCCGAACTAATCTATGATGCCATTGAGAAAGTTCGACTCATTAGAGAGAGGTTGAAGACGTCCCAGAGTAGGCAAAAGTCCTATGCCGATAATAGAAGAAGAGATCTTGAATTTGACGTTGGTGATTGGGTCTACTTGAAAATCGCACCTATGAAAGGTGTGATGAGGTTTGGCAAGAGCGGGAGACTTAGTCCCCGGTATGTGGGCCCATACCAAGTCTTGAAGTGTATTGGGAAAGTTTCATATGAGTTAGACTTACCAAGTGAGTTGGCTTCGGTTCACCCGGTGTTTCATGTATCCATGCTCAAGAAGTGCATTGGTGATCCGATGTCCATCCTTCCTTTAGAGGGTTTAGGAGTTGATGAGAACCTTTCTTATGAAGAGGTCCCAGTTGGGATTTTGGACCGGCAAGTGAAGAAGTTAAGAAATAAGGAAGTAGCCTCCGTTAATGTTCTTTGGAGGAACCACCTTGTTGAGCGTGCCACATGGGAGGCCGAGGCCGATATGATGTCCGCTACCCTCATCTTTTTCCTTCTACTCCTATTCAAGCATGAGGTAAATAGTTCCTCTTAAGTTTAGTGTTTTGGGAGTCACGAGTGTTGTATGATTTTCCATGATTTCACTATATTATGCATGTTTTTGTGAGAATTCATTTTTTTTTATATATGTTGATTTTGCATGATTTGCATATTTCTCATGTTGATTTGCATTTTTGGATGATGGTTGCATTTTTGACTCCATGAAGTGAAATGAGGAACATGCTTAATGATGTTTTGATGAAGTGACATGTTGGCTTAATATTGTTGTGTTGAGCTTTCTTGAGTTGGAGAAGTTAGTTCCTCCCATGCTTATGTGAATTGATGAGTTGCATGCATATGGAATTAGTAGATGAAGTTCTTGCTTTCTTGTGTTTTTTTGGCCATGTTGGGAAAAGGAGTTGAAGTTTCCTCCTCTTGAATATTGCATATGGTGAAGAGTGTATTTGTGAGTTTTGCTCAATTTTGATGTTTCAAGCATGATGGGCTTCTAGTCTAGAGTTTCTAACTTAGTTAGATGTTTTGGTCATCATTCGGGGACAAATGTTCCCAAGGGAAAGATAATGTAACATCCCAGAAATCCAATGACCTAAGCTAGAGCCTAACATGACGTCTAGTGTCATAAATAGGGTAAATGTCAAGATAAGAGTCATAAAACAACTTCCGTAACCTAGTACTAAGGTGTTAGTCCCTAAACATCAAGGCATGGCCCCCCTAAGGACCCCAAGGGTCCTTGATGAGGGCCCAGGGCAGCTAAAAAATTGTCGAAAAATAGTCCCATCCACGAAGGGAGGAACACGAGGCGTGGACTGACTCATGCCCTATAGATGGGTGTCGTGAGTCCAGCCTTAGCCTCCTCAAAAGGTCCCTAAAATTCCATGGCTCATCCCCATTCCACGGACGTGCAGTACGGTCCGTGGACCAACTCACGCTCCGTGGAAGGGTCTCGTGAGTTGAGACTTAGTCTCCTCACCAAGACCTTGATCCTCCCCTCTCTAACCCAAACCACGAGTGACCAGTACGGTCCATGGTTCAAACCACGCCCTGTGGGCGGGGACTCGTGAATGGGGCTTGGGTATGCTGCCTAGGTTCGACCTAGGTAGGGGTGGTTTGGTAATTCATTAACTAATTAAGTTAGGGTGGGGGACGGTTATAATTAGTTTTTATAGGTATATTGAAGTATTTTTAAGTATTAAACAAGTCTTTTAACTCTCATAATACACAAACCCAAAATCAAACCCATTTCCCTCCCAAAATATTCTCTCTAAACTCCATTGAAGAACAAAGAAGAAGCTCAACCTAGGGGTTCAAGATCCATCCTTTTCACTCCAATTTCGTGAGGAGATCATCAATCATGTTATGGGAGACTTGATTCACGGAACACTTTTCTCCATGAAGCCCTTCAACTCTTGATTTCAAAATTGATAACTTGTTCAAAAACTAGGGTTTTGATTCTAGCCATGGGTTTTTCTTAAAAACAATTTCATTGTATCAATTGTCTTATAATATGAAGGAATTGATGTTTAATGGTGTTTTTTATTGTGAAATTCCCCATGAACCCAAGTACACCCCCATGACCCCAATTTCATGAATTTTGATTGGTGTATTAATGCGAGATGATTACTATGAATTGTATCCATGTAAATCTAGTTATTGAATCTTGTTTTATTCATACCTATTGTAGTATCTTTGGGTGTAATTGTGAGACATGGTGCATGGACCTTGAATGGGGGTAAATTGCTAGGGTTTGGGTAGGTTGATGAAGATTGTATATGAACTTGTGGTTCAACTATAAAATGATGATCTTATGGTTATAGTGTGTTAATGGAATTGATGCAAGACCCTCTTCCCCTACACCCTTACACTTATATATGCATGAAAGAACTATGATGTGATATCAATCTTGTGTTTATTGTAAAGGACTCTCATGAACTTGATGTGAAAGACTTACTCACATACTAAGGATTCTAAGGAATCCATGAGCTACCATGATACCATGATGGTTGAGTGCTATGCATTCTTCCATGAACATGATTATAAAGTAAAGACTTAACATGATTATAAAAAGGGAATAAAGCTTAGCACCGAGTGGATAGG